GGGCCCCCCCGTGGCTCTCGCAGGAGTGTTAGGTGCTACTAGCGCCAAGGGCGCGGGTTCGGATCCTATATAGGGATGGCTGGTGTGCTCACTGGCTGAGTGTGGTGCGGACCACCCCGTTCCCTTACCGGTCAAAAAAAAAAAAAAAAAAAAAAAAAGAATAGGACAAATAGAAATCATGCGTCACCTAAAATGTAAAGAGAAGGTTGTACAGAGAAGAACACAGCATCACTTCTGAGACATAACTGTTAGATGCATAACCTCTATCTAACCATGAGGAAATCGTAGACCAAAGCAAACTGGAGGACTTTCTACATAATAACAGGCTTGCAGTCTTCAGAAGTGTCAGGGTCACTGAAGTCAATTAAAAACTAAGGAACTGATGCAGAATGAAGACTAAAGAGACATAATGACTAATTACAATGCATGATTCTGAACTGGATCATTTCACTATAAAGGCCTTTACTGGGATAACCAGCAAAACTTGAGTGTGTCTGAGGATAACATGGTAATAACGTATCAATTCAAATTTCTTGATTTTAATGGTCATATTGGGGTTATGTCGGAGAATATTCTTCTTTGGAAGAAATACACCCCTAAGTATTTGAGAAGATGGAGCATCAGGTTGGCAAATTACTATTAGATGATTCAAGAAAAAGGTTCTTTACTCCTGTAAGTTTGAGATGTTTCAAAATACACATTTAAAGGGAAACCAAGTAGATCAGAAACTCACTTTCTGATTATTTCAGAGAAGAGATGAGAAGAAGTGATTTTCCTCAATAGAAAGTACATTTTGTTTAAAGCACCCAGATAATGTGAAATGAGAATCCACTGCCTCAAGAAGCAAAGGTTTCCCTACTGCTTTTTCCTCACAATGCTGCTTCTTCCTCAGTTGGGAGCTGTTTCCTCCTCTCCTACACTCCTTCCACACTACCAGATGAGGAGCATCTTTGTTCCTCGCTGATGCTTTCAGACATTCTCTGCCTCTCCTCTGTAAAACCACCTCCGACACCAACTTTGAATCTCATGTGATCAGATGGTACAGTGACACTCACCACCTCGCTCATTTTTGCAGTCTCTACAACCCCCTGGAAACTCATTCTTGAAGGCTTTTTTTCCTAATTCAAGGTCACTTTCTCCAAAACTACTTTAGCCATCACTCCTGGTGGATTCCATAGCTATGTAGGTAAACCTTCCAATCCTTGACCTCCTAGGTTAGGTTCTTTTCCTCCTCTCCTTAAGTGTTCTTGCCCTCTAGTCCTCCTCAGTCCTATTGTCATTCCCTAGACTTAACATTACCAATGACTGCAATCCTTGTGTAATTTCAATTTCAA